TAAGTGAAGTGCTCAAGGGGAGGAAGTGGCAAACTAAGCGTGCCACTAAGCAAACTAGTAAAAGATAGAAGGATGTAAAGCACGTTTGATAATTATTTCAGTTACAATTTGCTTTGCTGACCACTAAGTTCTTATTAACAGGCTTCCAAGATTATCTTCAACAAAGCTAATAAAAACCATTTTGCCATCAGATACACCTTGTATATTTATTTTAATGACGTTTGATACCATTAATCATTCGCCTGAACCAGTTTTGTGCAATGGGCACTGTTGACACTGTTTTGCAGTGGTTCCAGTTCTATCCCTGGGGTCAGTTTCAAATGACAGCATTGGATTATTATCTCAACCCCGTGTAAGCAGTGTTAGAAACTGGGATCAAAAAACTATTCACCACATGGTTCCTGGTTCCTTGGCACAAAAACAGAATGGCTAGTCAGCTCCCCCCCCCCAAATGCAGCAGCACTTTCTATTTATTTTTTTCAAAATTCATGAATACACAATTCACATCAGTGACACATTGTTAATAGCAATTATTGGACACCACAAATATAAATGGGGCTCAGCCCCTGAAGTTTTGGCCAAAACAATAGTCATTTGAAAAATTTATATTTACGAATACCAGCATGTATATAATTTTTTTATGTGTATGTGTTATGTAAAGTATTGTGATAGATTCATGAAGTGGCTGGGAGATTCGTGAAGGGGCTCTCTCAATGTTCAGAGAGCCCGCCGTGCAATGTCAGGACATCACACAGCATTGCGTGTGGGTGCCCTCAATCTTCTGACTGCGTGTGGGTGCCTCTGATGTAAAGCCACTGGAGCTGTCATTAGGAGATTTGGGGAGAAGCGTAATCAGTACATTAATGCAGTCAACTCTATTTCTCTGTAATATTTGACTCAGAAGAGGCCACATTAGCCCTGAACCAGTGCCTGGACTCTGATGGGCTGGAAGAATGCCATCAAACTGACACTAAATTCCAACAAGACAGAAGCACTGTGGTTGGGTAGGTCACAAGTCCAGAAAATTGGTCATTTGTCTGCTGCGGTTGCACTCCCCATGAAGGAGCACATTCCTAGTCTGGGGGTTGGATCCATCTCTAATGACTTCATGATCTACGGGTTTCTTTACCAGCTCTGGCCATTTCTAGGCCAGGATAGCCTGAGAACTGCCACCCATGTACTGGTCCTCCAGAACCATCAAATTGTAGAGTTGGAAGGGATCTTGAGGATCATGTAGTCCAACCTTGACTATGCAGTATTATATAGCTGTCCCATATGGGGATCAAACCTGTGACCTTCATTTTATCAGCATCATGTTCTAACCAACTGAACTATCCAGTGGTCACCAATGGATTACTATTATAGGTTGTATGTGGGACTGCCCTTGAGGTTGACCTGGAAAAGCTGCAGCTAGTGTAGAATGAGGCAGCTCAACTGCTCAGAGGGGCAGAATTCTGCTGTTGAAAAAAGAAGAGGAGTTTGGATTTGATATCCCGCTTTATCAATACCCGAAGGAGTCTCAAAGCGGCTAACATTCTCCTTTCCCTTCCTCCCCCACAACAAACACTCTGTGAGGTGAGTGGGGCTGAGAGACTTCAGAGAAGTGTGACTGGCCCAAGGTCACCCAGCAGCTGCAAGTGGAGGAGCGGGGAAGCGAACCCGGTTCACCAGATTACGAGTCTACCGCTCTTAACCACTAAGAGTGGCTGCTAATTAGCTACTGGGCCAAGTTCAAGATGCACAAAGCCCTATAAAGATTGGGGCCAGGGTTCCGAAAAGATAATCAAATCCTTTACATGCCCAACCAATCATTGCACACTGCAGGAGAAGGCATCCTGTTCACAACATCTTACCAGGAGAGCTATTCCACAGCATGTTGAAATTGAGCCTTTATTATGACAGCAGCTACCTCCTTCCTGTTATGCATGAGACAGGTGACATCTCTGTGATCTCTCTGATGTCTCTTGAAGACTTTCCTCTTTCAGTAAGCCCTTTAAGTGGAGATTCCACCTCCCCACTCCACCCCGTCCCAGTTAGTACCTGTACTGAATGGAAATGGTCTTTACATATGTAAATGTTTTATATATGTAAATGTTTTATAGATTTGTTGTATTGTGAAATTCCTTTGAGATGCTTTATAGTGATTCACAGATGAAATAAATAATGTAAGAGCTCCCTGTTATTATAAATCTTAAATCAATGTTCATCGTAATGATAGACCTTAAAAGGTGACGTGTCATGCTAGATTACAGTTGAGTAACATCAACAAGCCAGGACAAACATTGAGTTCACACTCTCCACCCCTCTCTCCTTCTCCTGTATAGCCAGGAATAAGAGTTCATATGTTTAAATCGTGGTATGCAGTTTCATTCGTACCCAGTGTTTGAAACTCCCATTATTCCAGGCGCATTTTGTGACAGAGAATTTCATCAGTACAAGCAGTTTCTGAGCTCTGGCAGTTAACACCCCTACCCACCCTGCTTATACAACAGGTAGTTATCAGTGTCCCTGTATTTAACCTGTGCAAAGAAGACATTGCAGCTGTTGGTGCATATTGATTGGTGCTTTTGGCTAATGTGGGGAAATTCTTATTATGTAACATAATGATGGGTTATATGGTGCTATTGACAGGGACACTGTATGAATAGGCACTGGTCTTGCTACTTTAATTTTTGTTTCTGCAGCTACTTTTGTGCTGCTGACATAGGTGCAATCCTTCAGAAACATTTCCAGTAGTAATATGGCCATCTTTTACAGACCACAGGATATCCCACTGAGCACTTTTTTCTATTTTATAATAATAATAATTTTATTATTTGTACCCCACCCCTCCAACCAGGCCATCCCAAGTTAAGCCAATTTGCCAGTGAGGTTACACATTAGTACAGTTTCATCCACATGAAGAGCCGCAGACTTCTGTGACATAATGCCCTAGTCCAGAATGTTATAGAATCTGCGAGTGCCATGAAGAGGAAAAACCATTGCAGCTTTGAGCAAAAAACTAAACTTAATTTTACAAAATCTAATCAGCTCCAATTCCAATAAAGAAATGTATGAGGTTTGCATGTGTTACAAAATTAGTTTCCTATCTGTCCATATTTCATGGGCACCAGCACTGCTATTATCTATATAGAACAGATGCCTGCAATTTTAACACTATTTGTTTCCTCACGTAGCAAAGTATTTCTAGCACCTCCTCATTTTTTCCTCTTTTGGGGAATGATATGATAAAATTATGTCTGCTTCCATTTGAACAATACTTATAATTCTGGAATAAAGCACACTATCTATTTGACATCTAGCAGCTTTGTCATATAATTGTTCTATCACCTACTGCTGATGTAATTATTCAGACAGCCCAAATAGTTCTTCTGCTCTTGAGTTCATTTTCCTGACAATTAACCCTAATTTAAATCTAAAATATAGACTTTTAAAATCTCTAAATCATGTCTCCTGAACCAGAAATGGAGAATGGCAGTGTACCCAACGACTTCTAAGGTGTACTCTAGTAGTAAATATGACTTCTGACACAATTTAAAATTAAACAGGACAAACCTCAGTTTTAAACTCTGCACTCAAGTCTCTCTGTGTGCATTGACACTTTCCATCCTATAAGCCAAGACACTAGAATTGTGAGTTGACAAAACCTACCTATACTGTCACATCCAATGCTATTCTCTCCACTCCGGAACGGAAAAAACAATTTTACACAGATGAGTAGTTATATATGTTCAAGCAATAACCTCTTTCCACACCTAGATACTGCATCAATACATTTTGATGAGCTGCAGAATCTCTACGCATTTTTTCCCCAAACCTCAGTGCCTAAAATTAGATTCCCAAAAATAACTTACTGCCTTTGCCGACATGCCTAATAAACTTCAGCGGCTAACTATGTATCAGAACTGGTGCGCACCAAGAGCCTGACTTAGCAAGAGAAATGTGGAGTAGTACACAAGCTTCGGCTTAGGTGCTTGTAAAACTAAATTCCTCCAAACTTTTGACAGCACCGAATCTCAAACTTGGAAAAGGCAAGAACAGCAGAGCCAATCAGAGAGCAGTTGGCAAGGCTGTCATGAGAGAGAGAGAGAGAGAGAAATCCTCTTAAGTACTTGACTTCAGAGGAACTCTTGTACTGTCTTCCAGAGTAGAACTGCCGGATTCACTTCTTGGTGCACAAAACACCAAAAATGCTATTTCTACTTCTACAACCTCCTTGCCACCTTTTGATTTAAAAGAGCAGCAACACTTGGCTGAGAGAGGACAACTTTCAGCTTTGATTTCTGCTCACTCACTTCCTCCTGCCCCACAGCTCCAAACGCTGTCTGCCAAAAGTCACTCGCCACCCAAATCTCTCCATGCTCCTGAATCCACTCAGCCCTTCTTTTCTAGGGAGGAAAAAAATTACACCACTGGTGCTTATGCTTTAATAATAATAATAATAATAATAATAATTTATGGCTGGGTTTCCCCGGCCACTCTGGGCGGCTTCCAACAAAACACTAAAATACAATAACCTATTAAACAAGAAAAGCTTCCCTAAACAGGGCTGCCTTCAGATGTCTTCTAAAAGTTTGGAAGTTATTTTTCTCTTTGACATCTGGTGGGAGGGCCGCCTGCGAGGTCTTGCCCTGGCACCCTGCGCAAGACCCACCTCGCCACCTATGAACAACCACGAAACACCCCCGACTGAGTGCAAGGTGCATTGATTTTCCTCGGTGCCGCCAAGACATTCCCGGAGAGAAACAGGCGCCGTAACCAACAGCCCCTTTTCGCTCCCACCTCTTGGGAAAATCTAAGCACCTAAATTTGACTCCTGCCGCCCCCAAACAACCGAGAAGCGGCGTGGGCTCGAGTTCGCGTGAGAAGAAGAAACACTCTGCACGTGCCCAGGGGCACTCCGCTTTTCTTTTTGAGCCCGCCGCGATGCACTCTGTACATGCTCGCGGGCACGCCTGCCTGTCTTTCCAGCCCCCGCAGGGCCCCCCCCCCCGCCTCACCTGAGGCCCCGCCGCGCTTCTGCTGCCGGCGGTGGTCGCTCTCGTAGAAGCCGAGCGTCTCGGCGGCGCGCTGCTGCTGCTGCTGCCCGGGGCCGGGCGACGGCGGGCTGGAGGCGGGCGGCGCGGACCGAGCCGGGGAGGGCTGAGGGGAGCGGCACTCGCCGCCCGTGAAGCTGCTCCGCCGCTGCTGCTGCTGCCCGGAGCCCGGCTGGAGCAGGGAGAGCTCCGGGGGGCCGCCGCCGCCCCCCCGCCGCCCGCCTTCCCCGCTCCCGGCGGAGGCGGCATCGGCGACGCCCGCCATCTTCACGCGAGCGGCAGCCACAAACTCCGCTCCGCGCGGCGGAGGCTGCTGCTGCTGAGGGAAGCCTCCGCTGGCCCGCCGGAGCACGTCATCGCCGCGCGACAAGGAGCGCACCAGACGGGCCCACCTCTCCAGCGCGCGCGAGCGGCGAGCGGTCCTGGCGGCCATCTTGACGGAGGCAGGAGGGGCGTTGCCATAGCAACCGCCCCCCCCCCCGCGCGGCCTGCTGCTTCTCCTCCTCCTAACTCTCGCCCAGCCCGAAGCCTCACAGCGACGACACGGAGGGCGGGCGGGAGCGAAAGGAAGCGGGCCCAGCCTCCTCTGGCAGAGTTTCAGCCCCAATAACAACACACACACACAGTGGAAACAAACATAAAAATAAAATGAAACAATCGCCCGACGTGATCGTATTATATCGTTCGCCAGCCGCTTTGTTGTTGTTTAGTCGTTTAGTCGTGTCCGACTCTTCGTGACCCCCTGGACCAGAGCACGCCAGGCACTCCTGTCCTCCACTGCCTCCCGCAGTTTGGTCAGACTCATGCTGGTAGCTTCGAGAACACTGTCCAACCATCTCGTCCTCTGTTGTCCCCTTCTCCTTGTGCCCTCCATCTTTCCCAACATCAGGGTCTTTTCCAGGGAGTCTTCTCTTCTCATGAGGTGGCCAAAGTACTGGAGCCTCAGCTTCACGATCTGTCCTTCCAGTGAGCACTCAGGGCTGATTTCCTTAAGAATGGATGCGTTTGATCTTCTTGCAGTCCATGGGACTCTCAAGAGTCTCCTCCAGCACCATAATTCAAAAGCATCAATTCTTCGGCGATCAGCCTTCTTTATGGTCCAGCTCTCACTTCCATACATCACTACTGGGAAAACCATGGCTTTAACTATACGGACCTTTGTTGGCAAGGTGACATCTCTACTTCTCAAGATGCTGTCTAGGCCTGTCATTGCCCTTCTCCCAAGAAGCAGGCGTCTTTTAATTTCGTGGCTGCTGTCACCATCTGCAGTGATCATGGAGCCCAAGAAAGTAAAATCTCTCACTGCCTCCATTTCTTCCCCTTCTATTTGCCAGGAGGTGATGGGCCCAGTGGCCATGATCTTCGTTTTTTTGATGTTGAGCTTCAGACCATATTTTGCGCTCTCCTCTTTCACCCTCATTAAAAGGTTCTTTAATTCCTCCTCACTTTCTGCCATCAAGGTTGTGTCATCTGCATATCTGAGGTTGTTGATATTTCTTCCGGCAATCTTAATTCCAGCTTGGGATTCATCCAGCCCAGCCTTTCGCATGATGTATTCTGCATATAAATTAAATAAGCAGGGAGACAAAATACAGCCTTGTCATACTCCTTTCCCAATTTTGAACCAATCAGTTGCTTTAAACTCGTGCAATTGGAGGCGTGCTTAACTGAGAGCCCCAAAGTCACGAAGACTTTATTCCCTAAACGGAAAATAAGCTGGGAAAGTTTCTTCTCCTTCCCCACCCGCTACTCCTGCGCTTCTCCGGTGGGGCTGCTGCCTGGGCGCTTCCCTCTTTGAACCGCGCTTAGGATGGGGCTGCGTGCAAACGAAGCTCAGGTTTCACATCTGGGATGCGCAGCTCGGGGCGCCCCCTGCGAATCCCACCTGAGCAGCTGCAAAGGACAAAGCTGGGAAAGTTTGCTTCGTTTTGTTTAAGAGAGCATTGAAGGAAGCAGGAATGTAGGGACTTGCATTTGAAGTTTTATTTTTTCCACCCTCGCGTTTCTGATAGCGCACAACTGCGTGCTCCAAGAATAAACACTCCTTGCTCTCAGCTAGTAAAGCTTAAAACTACAATCCTATAAAGGGCCCTATTAATACACTGGGATTTGTTTCCAAGTAAACAAGCAGAGGCTAATTTTCTTCTAGATTTCTGGAAACGGGAAGTGAAAAACCATTCTCATTCGTCTTTAGACATGGGTGTAGCCAGGAACCTTAGTGTGCTATATATTTTTATTTATTTTTATTGATTTGGCTATACCCATGTCTTTAGATCAGTGCTTTCGTTTAAACTTATTCTCGATTAAGCCTCTCTCCTTTTTCTTTCTCTACTCATAGAGGCCTCCTCTTTTTCATCTCTGCACCACCATGGACCAAACATTAACTCCTCATCTTTATTTCTCTCTGCACTTCCATTTCTTAAGCTATGCCCTCTTTTTGAGACAGGTTTCCCTGCACTCCTCCTGAGCAGAATTCCTGCAGGATCATACCAAAGGTGGCAGACACACCATTTCTTCCAAAGCATTGTGAGACCTGTTGTTTCCCACTCAGAGATCTACAATTCCCACCACCCCATAACAAGCTACATTTTCTGGGAATCTCCAGGGGCGGGAATAATTTGCTTTAAAAGTAGGGTGGTTGGTAGCCAAATGTCTCTGCAATAATTCTCTCTCTGGTGATGGCCCCAGTATGCAGTGGCATAATACTGGCTTGGAATACAATACTTTTTTATATAGTACTGACAGTTAACCTGGTAGGTTCTGCTAAGCTGCTTAATAGATCCATCCTTCATGGAATTGTCCACCCCACTCTGTAAACTAACTAGAGATGGGCAACAAATTCAATTTAGTTCGCATTTAAAGATGAATCTAATAAATTTGCACTTTCCATAACAGTATGCAAACTGAAACACAGCCAAACTTGGAAAGTTGCACTTATTTGAATTTTGCTGTGCAGGTTTCTAACCAATGCTTGCAAAAATACATACATTAGGGGAATGTGTGCATAAAAAGAAATGAATTTGTGAAAGTAACAGATAAAGTGCATTATATTAGGGATATCTGCTTGCATGGATATGTGCATTGTTCAAAACCACATTAAGCTGTGTTTCATGAGGATCGTTTTTTAAAGTGCACATGGCTGCAGAAATGTGGAAAACTGAATTTAAGACTGGGAACATAAGAAACAGAGAGAACCAAAAGTGACAATTCCTTCCATTTCTAGCAGTGACCATCCCCACATCATGTGACAGTAAAGTCCTTTCATCATTAATTATGTGTTGTGTGCAAAGTAGTACTTCCTTTTGTCTGTCCTAAATCCTGATTGTACTGCCAATCAGGTGCAGCGTGGGACTGTGATTTCTAGTATTCTCTCTATCCACTTTTCCCACACCCATGGATCGTTTTATAAACTTCTGTACGTCATCTTCATTATCATCATACCCCTCACAACCCCAGTCACCTTTTTATCCTAAATAAAATGCCTTTGCCTTTTGTTATCTACCAAGGGTGCTCCCAAACCCTTCTTATTCTGCTTGCAGCTTTTCAGCAGCTTTCCTAATGCTGCCATATCCTTTTTGAGCTTTAACAGCTAAAACCTGCACCATCTGGCTGCATCACAATATTTGCAGTTTTAGCTGCAGTCCTTTCCCTAATAATTTCCAACATGAAATTTGCCTTATTCACTGCTCCAGCATGGTAAGCCAATGCTTTCAGTAAATTATGCAATATCTACTTTAATTTCCATAGCCCAATCAGGCCCGATCTGTGAATGTGGAAACACTTTTCCATGAATCTCATTATGTCATCTTGTTATCCATTCACCCAGTTTGGGGAGTTCCTTTTGGAGCTCTTCAGCCTGACTGGAGTCTTCTGCACACTTTGTTCACATTGATTCCAGAGAAGGAATGAATAAGTCCTTTGCCATCTCTCTCTCTCTGCATTTTCTCTTTTCGCTACACAACAGGTCACAGTTACCCACTATTTTTCCTTCTGCCATTCTCTTTACAGTGCTCTATTTGTTCCACCACCACACCTCACTTTATTTATCCTCCTATAGCAACTCACACTAAGGGAGTCAGATTTGTGGGAGGGGAGCTTGTGCAATACAGCTGGCTGCAACAAGCTGGATAATTTGGCATCAGCTGGTTGCAACAAGCTGGATAAATTGGCACCAACTTTATAGCATGCCTCTGACTACAGAGAGGAGGAGCAATAGAGAACATACTGTTTGTTGTTGTTGTTTTATTATTATTATTAATTATTACTACTTCTATCACTATTACTATTTGCTTTTTAAAAGCATTCTTACCCCAGTTTTCAGTCAAAAAGGATTCCCACAGTGCCTTACAGAATGATGAAAAACAAGACAGTCTTTTCTCCCAGGTTTACAATCTATAAGAGGGAAAAGCCACACGTTTTAAAATTCAAAGTTATTTATAAAGCATCAGAAGTGTGCAAGGTGTTTTGTACAAGGTGACAGGTTCGTGTACAGAAAAGTTTCCAAGTTGCAACTTAGTAACTCCCTTCCGTATATTCCCCAGTCATCTTGATAGTGCTGTTGGGACAGAAACATTCTGCACAGAAACAGTTAAGATATTTGTACCTTTAAGGACAGTTTATGTGAGCTTTGGGCAGATTGGGTGCAGCTGGCCATGACTACAAAAGGAGAAAAGCTGCAGTTTGTACTCTGCCTGCAGGAAAAACATTCACAAGCTTTGCTGTTTGTAGTTTTGAAATAAAGCCTTTATTTAATTGGGTTTTACACCTGTCTCATAGTGTCACAGTCTTTGTCATCTGCCACCAATGGAAAATCCCCCTCTAACAAGTGCATCTTTACAACACTGATAGTATATATAACAATGAATTTCTTATTTAGACCATTCTTACTATAGGCTTTGGTGACTAGCAGCTACCATCTTTTCCTTCAGGACTTTGTTACATTGCCTCCATATTAGGTTGCGTCAAGGATAGCCAACATGGTGTCCTTCAGAAGTGTTTGGCATCCAACTTAAGAGCACTGTCTCCGATTTAGTAGCAACTCCCACCATTTATTTCTATAGAAGAATATTGCTGAAACATTGCAGCAAGTGGAACACGGAGAATGCACGTGCAGAGCAGAGAGATTTAGGGGTGATTTTGCAATGTGTTTGGGGACATGCGACACTCTTGTGAAACTGAAGAGATGGCTATCTCTCTAGGCTTTTGCACAGGTTGATGAAGAAAAGAGATTGCTTAATGGGCGCTGTTGGTCAAGTAACGTTCCTGGAACAACATGGCACGCAAGTCGCACGCCTCCTGTTATGGTGACAGTTGAGATCTGCTTGCAAGTTGGGAAAAGTCAAAGCTCAGGTTGCAGAGAGAGCTTCCTGGCTGTCTAAGGCAGGGCAGTTCAACATGCAGCCCAACGGGCCTTTTTTGGCAACCCTCAGCAGCATTTGACGCCCTGAC